AGGAATGCTTCTTTGTTTCCAGTTACACCAGAGCTGAATTTGCCCCTCACAAAAAAAAAAACCCAAAAAACAACCAGAAAACAAATGGGCCATCTGCAGCCTGGCCAATTGCCACCTTTTTATTGCAAGTCTCAGGATATTTGGAATGTGTCTTAAGAGCTCCAGGTGCTGGAATGACAAGATTGCATGAGATTCTCAGCCTTTATTTAAATAAATTGTCAGCTTCTTGCCCTAACAGTTCCAGAAGAAAGTCTTGAAAACATAAAGCAGCTCCAATCTAAAAGCTCACAATCCAGAAAGCAAAGTGAAAGAAGCCAGTTTATCAATATTATTTTTAATACCATAACGTTTAAGTCAATCTCCCAGTGTCAGAGCAGGGGCAGACACATGGTTTTGGAGCATGCGGAGATGACAGTTCTGCTGCAGTGACACCGAATGAACCCACTGACGCCAGTGGGTATTGCTGAAGGCAGAATTGAGGTGGGAGGCACAAAAAGGTGATAAAGTGAAAGTTAATTTGTTACCGGTTGTAAAAGTGAAGAAAGGCACTAAAGATTAAGGAGGGCAGTTAAGGACCTGCTCTTCTGATTACAAGAACCCAATCAGGCCTGCTGTGACATGCACAGCAAGATAGTGGGGCCAAGATTTCTGTGGTGATTACAGATTTGGGGTAAGGAAGGCAAACACTGTGGGGGAGACACTGAGCTTTTCAGTTCTAGTCCCCAGGGAACAGTCAGTCATAGCAAACCACTTCTATCAGCAGGGCCATCCCTGGGGGCAGGAGGCGAATTGGGGCACTTTGGGGGACCCCGCAGAGCAGGGTAGAGTGGGATCTCCGAGTCCAGCCACTCACTACCCCCCACTGCTGCCGCTGCTGATGGCAGTGGCAGCTTCTTTGGGTCTGGGGCCCATGGGATCAGAGCAGGGGCGAGGCCCCGCATGGGCTGATTTGCCCTGGGCCCCACACCCTGCTCGGGTCAGCTCTGCCTCTCAGGTCAGGTGGCTGCTCCGGGGCTCATGTGAAACTGGTTGGTGTCTGTTTTCTAGTGGGGGACGATCACATACCTCATCTCTGGACCTGCTTGACTCCTAAGGCTGTTTGTACAGCTGATTCTCTTTAGAAAGATTAAAGGCCAGTAAAACTTTTAAGCAAAAGTGAGACCAAGACACAAAGTCTGTGCAGGGCTTCCCCAAAATTTGGGGCTGTTCATACCCCAGGCTTCTACTTTGCCCCATCAAAAAAACAGAGCCCAGACTTGATTTAGGTCTACATCATCATGTCTTCAAGGTTTACAACCCCATCTCTAGCTGGCAAATTGACAGTCCTGGAACCTGAACTCCACTGTGTAATTAGAAATGTCATTCAGCAAAGAAAGGAGCAGGCAATCTTCTTCCTCTGCTGCCACCACGTACACACAAGCACCTGCTGTTCAGCTGGCCTCAGTACAAGGAAACAGGTTAGCTTCTTGCCTCTAACAATGGCAACAAAGACAATGACTCCCTCAGTGTGGCCCAGCAACAGTGCAACTGTGCCGTTGGTTTTACCTGGGTATATGTTTAATAACTCCAGGTACAGTATCAAATCTTTGAAGCAATAAAATCTTCTGGAGTCCTTCCCATGAATTGCTCTATCGAGGTTACTCTTTGCCTAGTTAATCTTAAATCAGTGTCCTACCTACACAGGAATTCTCTTTGCTAGTTCAACTTGGGTTGGAAAAGAACCTCACAAAATGTCTCAAACACAATTCCAGCCTCAGTCACATCCTCTGTTGTAATATTTCATTGACTTTCTCCCTGCTCAGGAATAGCTTCAGAAGTTTTGGAGAGTCTACAGTAGGACAGTGCTTTATACTATTGGGTTTCCTTCCCGTCCATGAGGAGAAGACTCCCAGGACCATGGCTGACTTTGCTTTCACCATGAAAAGACCATCCTCGGGAGTGCTACAATGAAGTGTGACAAGCCAGCTCCGGGGACCCAACACACTAAAGTGGGTATAACAGCTTAGTAAAGTACTCAGCACACACCAATAAGCATGTCAAAGACAGAGCTTAGGGGGTGTACCCAGCACCCCACTGAGGCACCCACATTATATCTTTTTAGTGTGCAGCACATATTTCTCTATGGCTCTCCCTAGGAGAGTCTTTGCTGGTGCAAATGCACACTGTGAGGTGGGTGTTGGATGCTGCTTATGGGCATGTTCATTTGTACTCTTCTTTTCTGACCCTACTTTCTAGATTTTGGGTTTTTCCCTAGACAGTCGAAGCAATATCTCCAGCAGTAAGATTCCACCATAACATCCAAGCTGAGGTATAAGGAAGTGGTATTTTGGTGTCCTGGCTACTGTAAAATCCATTCTTCTTTTGTTTCTTACGTAACGCTGCTCTGAAATAGCTCATAGGCCCTGGAATTTTTCCCCTCTTCCAAGTGCTTTCATATCTCAATGGAAAATAGAAGTGGTAACTGAGTTTTATAGCCTGTATATCATCCCTGACAAAAGCAACTATTGCTGCTATTAAACTCGCAAGTACACACAAAGCACAGATAGCCATAAAAGCAGGAGGCTGAGGGACAGCTCAGCAACGTGGCACTGCTGAGGCAGGCATTTCCAAGTGCCAGGCTGTGTGGGTCCTTCAAGGTTGATTGCACATATCACAGTTCATTTTGGGGACACTCTGCCACATGCAATGAAGTCCCTTTCCCCCCAGAGACGTGGAGGGGAGGGCATGATTGAGCATTCATTTAAAATCCTGCTCCCGGTTCCTAATTAAGCTGCGTGCAGAAGTAAGATCCTATCAATAGTAAGCACAGCAAGAGCCACAAATTACCACCCAAGCCAATAAAACAGCAATAAATTGTCAGCTGACATGTGTGGAGTAAACAGAAGAGTGCAGCTTTGTCAGGCTTTGTATTCACTTTGTTTCACTCGGCAGGAGCAGATCCTCAGCTAACAAAAAGAAACCTAGGTCCGCTGATATTAAGAAAGCTACACTAGATTTATGCCAGGATAGACCTGGAAAGACTGGGTTTGGGAAATGAAGGTGATGTGAGAACTAAACTTCCTAAGTTTAGACCACAAGTGGCATTTGTCATGCCATTGGCCTCACTATTTCTGTTCTATTGAGGAGCAGAACTTGCCATGGAGGAATTAGGGCAGGATCTAAAACTACTTAACTGCAACCAAGAGAGTCAAAGTCAAAGGTCCTCCTAGCCCTAGCAGTCCATTGAGCTAGGGTGCTTTTACATGTTATTAGTGCTGTTAAGGCAACACCTGTGCTTGGAGATCATTCTTAGTAAGGGAACATAATGAGCTGGACAGTAACTGGTATTATGCTTATGCTTTTAATGCCCTAGATTTTATTTAATTCCTGCCATGTTTATCAGTGCTTCCTTGTATTTTCAGTTGAAGACTCTCATAAATGGAAAGGAAAAAGCCACAAGGAAGAGCTCTCTCCCCTCCTTTTCTGTAGCCACCATATCTAGTCTCACAGCATGTACTTCATGAAGAGGAATGAATGAAAAATCCCTTAATGTGTTTTATATGCTTAATTCTCTGCAGCTTTGTCTGGACATACTCCTTTTCACCTTTTAGTTTATACTTCTAGCAGAATGCCTCATACACTGTATTTCCATTTTTGTGATGTCATGCTTTATACTCATCTGAGAAACATTTGTGCAAATCCTTTTAGTAGCAGCAGTAGCGGTAGTAATATTGTATTCCCATTTAATATATACATGTATAATCCACTGGTCAGTGTGTGTTATATGTCCTGTTCTGTGCTAATCTGCAGAGTTCATGAGTCAACTACAGCCCCAGCCAAATGGTCTTAGTCTTTTAGTCCGAGTTGTAGCAGTGTATCCTTTCAGCTCTGGAGGTCCTTGGTTTGAGGGTTATCAGTTAGAGATGTATGAACTGTAGCTGTGTCCCAAGACCAATGCAAGTTGGAAAGAGTCAGAAAGAGAACCCTTGATATTTAATGCAGAGTCCCCCTGCTCTTACCATTTGACAAAGCTTTTCATGTGCTGGGTGGTTATAGACAGACATCAAGATGAATCCCTGAGATCCCCAGTTTAATTCTGTTCTCCACTAAAGTCACCCCAAGTCATCATTTAGGAAATACTTTTTGATTGATCTATGGTAAGTCAGGATTTATATACAGGGACAGTTCCTTGGAGACATCTTCCACTGGATTCCCAGAGGCATGAGGAGAGAGAAAATGGTTGCAGTTTTGCAGGCTCAATGTTTGCATTTCAGTTCTATTATTTCCTGTATGAAATGTGACATTTTCCCTCACAACTCAGGGCAGCAGGTACAGCACGGGTGCTTGCTCTGTCCCTGAAAGTCTCCC